CCCGGGGCCTTGGTGTTGTCAGCACCACACTCTCCCGAGTGAGCCACGGGCCGGCCCAACTCTAAGAGTTTTTTTGTAGAGGCTTTAGGCTGTTTGATATACAGGATCATATCATCCACAAACAGGGACAGTTTGACTTCATCTTTTCCAATCTGGATGCCCTTTATTTCCTTCTCTTCTCTAATTGCTCTGGCTAGTACTTCCAACACTATGTTGAATAGTGGTGAGAGTGGGCATCCTTGTCTGAGTACTTCCAACACTATGTTGAATAGGAGTGGTGAGAGTGGGCATCCTTGCCTAGTTCCTGTTCTTAAAAAGAAAGCTTTCAGCTTTTCCCATTTCAGGATGATATTGGCAGTGAGTTTATCATATACGGCTTTAATTATGTTGAGATACTTTCCATCCATACCTAACTTGTAGAGACTCTTTTTCATGAACAAATGTTGATTTTGTCAGATGCTTTTTCAGCGTCTATGGAGAAGATCATATGGTTATTGTCTTTGATTTTATTGGTGTGGTGTATCACATTTATTGATTTGCATATGTCGAACCAACCTTCCATCCCTGGGATGAATCCCACTTGATCATGGTGTATCATTTTCTGTATGTGTTGCTGTATTCTGTTAGTAAGTATTTTATTAAGGATTTTCGCATCTAAATTCATCAAGGATATTGGCCTGTAGTTTTCTATTTTTGATGTATCTTTGTCTGGTTTTGGTATTAGAGTGATGTTCACCTCATAGAATGAGTTTGAGAGAATGCACTCTTTTTCAGTCTTTTGGAATACCTTGAAGAGATCAGTTCCTCTTTGAAGGTTTGGTAGAATTCTGCAGTGAACCCATCCAGTGCTGGGCTTTTCTTTCTTGGGAGCCTTCTGATAACAGCTTCAATCTCTTTTATTGTTATTGGTCTGTTCAGATTTTCTAAATCTTCTTGGCTCAATTTTGGTAGCTTGTATGTGTTTAGAAATTTATCCATTTCCTCCAGATTTTCAAATTTGTTGGCATATAGTTGTTTACAGTAGTCTCTAGTGATTCCTTGTATTTCTGAGGTATCAGTTGTAATGTCACCTTTTTCATTTCTAATTTTTGTTATTTGGGTCTTCTCTCTTCTTTCCTTAGTTAGCTATGCTAGAGGGTTATCAAAAAACCAACTTTTGGTTTCATCTTTTATATCATTTTTGGGGTTTCTATTACATTTAGTTCTGCTCAGATCTTATTTCTTTCTGTCTACTAACTTTGGGTTTGGATTGTTCTCGTTTTTCTAGATCTTTAAACTGAAGTGTTAGGTTGTTTATTTGCCATCTTTCCATTCTTCTGAAGTAAGCATTTAATGAGATAAATTTCCCCCTTAGTACTGCTTTTGCAGTATCCCACAGGTTTTGGTATGATGTGCCATTGTTTTCATTAGTTTCAAGAAATTTTTTGATTTCCTGTTTAATTTCTTCTTGGACCCATATGTCATTAAGTAGAATGTTGTTTAATTTCTATGTGTTTGTATAGTTTATAGTTTTGTTTGTTATTGATTTCTAGTTTTAATCCATTGTGATCTGAAACAATACATGCAATAATTCCAATTTTTTTGAATTTGTTGAGACTTGCTTTGTGACATAACATGTGGTCTATTCTGGTGAATGTTCCATGTGCTGATGAGAAGAATGAATATTGTGAGGTTGTTGGATGGAATGTTCTGTAGATATCTGCCAAGTCCAATTGGTCTAAAGTGTGTTTAGATCTTGTGTTTCTCTATTGATTTTTTTGCCTAGATGATCTGTCCAATGATGAGTGGGGTGTTCAGGTCCCCCACTATTGTGGTATTAGTGTCCATCTCATTCTTTGGATCTGATAGTGTTTGCTTTATAAATCTGGCTGCTCTGACATTGGGTGCATGTATATTTATGACTGTTATGTCTTCTTGATGGATAGATCCTTTTATCATTATATAGTGGCCTTCTTTATCTCTTTTTATGGTTTTTGTTTTAATGTCTATTTTATCTGATATAAGAATAGCTACTCCAGCTCATTTTTCATTTCTATTTGCATGGTATATCTTTTTCCGTTCTTCTCTCAGTCTATTTGTGTCTTTACAGGTGAGGTGAGTCTCTTGAATGCAGCATATTGTTGGGTCCATCTTTTTAATCCAATCAATCTCTCTGTGTCTTTTGAGTGAGGAATTTAATCCCTTTAAATTTAGAGTTATTATTGAAAGGTATTGATTTACTCCTAGCATTTTATTGATTTTTGTTTAGATGTCTTAAGTTTCTTTTGTTCCATTCTTTCTGATTTTTTGTTTTTCCTCTGTGTTTGTTGGTTTCTCGGGGTGTTAGATAAATTATTTTTTCTCTTGTTAGCATTTTTGTTTTACTGGTAGGGTTTGTTCTTTCTTGAGTATTCATGGCAGTGATGGTCGTTTTTCAGGTATCAAACCCAGTACTCCCTTGAGAATTTCTTGTAGGATGGTTGTGTGGTAGTGAACTCCCACAGTTTTTGTTTTTCTGAGAAATATACTATTTGTCCTTCATTTTGGAAGGATAGCCTTGCTGGGTAAAGTATTTTTGGCTGGCAATTTTTGTCCTTTAGTATTTTGAATATATCATGCCATTCTTTTCTGGCTTTTAGGGTTTCTGATGAAAAGTCTGATCTTAGTCTGATTGGGGCTCCCTTATAGGTGACTTGCTTCTCCTCTCTTGCAGCTTTTAAGATTCTCTCTTTGTCTTTGAGTTTTGCCCGTTTGACTATAACATGTCTTGGAGAGGACCTTTTTGGGTTGAATATGTTTGGGGATATTTGGGCCTCCTGAATCTGAAGATCTGTGACTTTCCCTATACCTGTGAAGTTTTCTGCTATTATTTCATTGAATATATTTTCAGTGCCATTTTCTTTTTCCTCCCCTTCTGGATTTGGATATTTGAGTTCTTAAGGTTGTCTGTTATCTCTCTTATATTTTCTTCAATTTTTTAAATTCTTTTTTCTGTTCTGCCTGTGTTAATTCAAAAAGCCTGTCTTCGAGGTCAGAAATTCTCTTTTGCTTGTTCTAGCCTGCTGGTTAAACTCTGTTGTGTTTTTTATTTTATTGGATGAATCCTTCAGCTCCACAATCTCTGCTACATTCTTTTCAGGGCATTGATTTCTTTGTACCTTTCTCTGTCAGATCCTGTATATTTTTCTCATTTCATTGTGTTGTCTGAGTTTCCTTGTATCTCATTTAGTTTCCTTAGAATTGTTGCTGTAAATTCCTTGTCAGTCATTTCAAGGACTTCCTGTTCTATAGGATCTAGAGCTTGAGAGTTATTATTTTCCTTTGATGGTGATGTACTTTCTTGATTTTTCATATCTCTGGTATCTTTCCTTTGGTGTTTAGTCATTGTGGCAGAGGGTATCATGGTCCACTTGTTCCACCCTGATGTCTGACCTGGATCCTGAAGGGACTGCCAATTCTGGGCAGCAGGAACTAGCCTGGGCTGGGGGTCCTGCAGCACCTGCCTGTTCTTGCATGGCTTGCTCAGGGCATGTGGGCCCAGTAGCTCTCAGGCCTCTCTGTGCAGCAGGGACTGACCTGGGCTGGTGGTCCCACAGTGCCTGCCTGATCTGGCACAGCTGACTCAGGGCATGTTGGCCCGGTAGCTCTCAGGCCTCTCTGGGCAGCAGGGACTGGCCTGGACTGAGGTTCCCATCATACCTGCCTGTTCTGGTGTGGCTGACTTGGAGTGTGTGGGCCCAGTGGCTCTCAGGCCTCTCTGGGTGGTGTGTGCTGGCTTGGGCTGGGGATCCCGTGGCGCATGGCTCCTGCCTGTTCCAGCACAGCTCTCAGGCCTCCTGTTGTTGCTTTTTAATAGTTGCAAATTGGTTGATTTGTGGGAGAGAGCAATGCTAGGAACTGTCTACTCCACCATCTTGACTGGAAGCCCCCTAATTTACATGGTCTTCTGACTGTTAGATAGAAGTTCCCAAAATCACAGAAAGCCAGTATTCAACTTTTCTCTGAAGTGTCCTGAGAGATACACTGTGGAGAGCATAAGGAGCATAGGATATTTCTATATCCTAACTTTTCCTTTTTAGGCCCCACTGACAAACTCCAAAGTTTTATTATGGTTTTAGCTAGTTACAATTCTCTCTGACATACGATTTAACATAAACTGAATTTTTAGTTGCTAGCATTGAATTCACATGCATTATTGTGGAAAGTTGAAGGATGGAGGTTCTTCCTCAGAAAAATCTGGCCATATACATTTGAAGCAAGAAATGCATAATATCAATAATTTTGAACCACTTTATACTGGTGAGTCTTAACTCTGTAATCATATCATTTCCCCCAGGTGTCATTTATTCCTTGTTTTTGATGTTTTTTTCCTCTGGAGAAGTCTGAGCTTACACTCCTGGGACAAGATGGCTGAATCTTTTTTTTCTGACTTTGGCTTGTTTTGGTACCTGGAGGAGCTTAGAAAGGAACAGTTTTGGAAATTTAAGGAGCTCCTCAAGCAAGAACCTCTGAAATTTGGACTCAAGCCAATCCCATGGACTGAACTAAAGAAGGCTTCAAAAGAAGATCTAGCAAAGCTGTTGGACAAGCATTACCCAGGAAAACAGGCATGGGATGTGACACTGAGCCTATTTCTACAGATCAACCGGAGAGATCTCTGGACCAAGGCTCGGGAAGAGATGAGAAGTAAGTACTGGATGGAGGGGCAGGGACACGGAGGGGAGGTTTGGTTTACTGAGAGGTTCTAATCATGAAGATGATATCATTGGTGAGTGGCCACCCCCTACATCAGTTGAGAATGTGTGTGGGTGAGTGTGAGCCTTGGAGGTAATAGAAGAGTTGCAAGCCTACACTGGTCATACATGGGCCAGCAATTAACTGAAAGTGAATAGTTTCTGGTAAATACTATTTATCTGAGAGTTGTCTCCTCATTTGTTCTGCCCCAGGTCAAGTCACTTCTATTAAGAGAAGTGACCTGGGAGTTGGTGTGTGCATTACTGGGTCTTCTGAAATGGAGTTCTATTATTATGATAGTTGCCCACTGTTTTGACCAGACGTGCAAAGGACTCAGCCGAATCCTAATATTACAGAGTTTATGTTCCGGTTCAGTAGGAAGTAATTTTTCTGCATAACGTTCTTTCATTCTCACCACAACTCAGCAAAGGTTTACAAATAATAAAACCATGGACCAAACAGTGCTTTCTTATTTTAGGTGGCTTTCCAAAAGTGACAGATCTGACTCCCAACCAGTTCTGATTGACTGATTAGTTAAATTTATGTCCTCCTCTGGGAGAATACTCATCTACCTACCTATTTTGAACCTAGGAACATAAACTGAGAATAAGTACTAGAAAACAAAGACAAAATATAAAAAGATTATTGTTAATTTCACCTTTAATATAGTAATTGAAAACTGAAGGTGTTTTGTAAAGCCAGTTTGTACATGCTATTCCCTCATTAATTTTATCTATTCATGGGAGTTGACTCTCTGTTGTGATAAGTAAACTGAGCTTCAGATGGATTATAACAGTTCTAAAATTTCATAGTGAGTGCATATATAGTTAAACCAGCACAAAACCCTTGTTTATAGACTTCTGGCTTAGTGCTTAGGAGCGTCAATTGGTAAGACAGTTTCTAAGCAGCAAGTGGCTATTTGGTCAGCTTGCCACACCACCATAGATTTGTTCTGTAAGGACATAAGAAGCCCAGATGGATTTAGACAGTTTATTGCTCACAGAACAACTGGCAACTTGCTCTTCACGCTCACCCCAGTTCCCCCTGCCCACTAAGTCCCATGGGGGTGCTATGGAGGTAGGCTCAGGTAGATACTGTGCACACAATGGATATGTGTCATAGCTGAGGAACCCAGAGATTAAGAGATCCTGATATTATGCAGCAGCTGATGAAAAGTCTGTTGCTCCTTTCAGAGAGATACATTAGCTCTATTACTCTGGGATATCTCTAGGAAGGGGAGTGAGACTCTAGCTTCATTATTTTGGAATGTCCCATAGAGTTGTCTCTAAATTTCTCCATACAGAATCACTGTTTTTATAAACAAATATGTCTCTTTCCCAGAGACACTCTCTTTTCATTTCAAAGGTGTTTGCTATTTATATGTCCTTGAACAAAGCTACTAATGTCTTGCTTAGAAGACACACAGAAATGCCAGAATTGCTANGGCTATTTGGTCAGCTTGCCACACCACCATAGATTTGTTCTGTAAGGACATAAGAAGCCCAAATGGATTTAGACAGTTTATTGCTCACAGAACAACTGGCAACTTGCTCTTCACGCTCACCCCAGTTCCTCCTGCCCACTAAGTCCCATGGGGGTGCTATGGAGGTAGGCCCAGGTAGATACTGTGCACACAATCGATATGTGTCATAGCTGAGGAACCCAGAGATTAAGAGATCCTGATATTACGCAGCAGCTGATGAAAAGTCTGTTGCTCCTTTCAGAGAGATACATTAGCTCTATTACTCTGGGATATCTCTAGGAAGGGGAGTGAGACTCTAGCTTCATTACTTTGGAATGTCCCATAGAGTTGTCTCTAAATTTCTCCATACAGAATCACTGTTTTTATAAACAAATATGTCTCTTTCCCAGAGACAGAAAGACTCTCTTTTCATTTCAAAGGTGTTTGCTATTTATATGTCCTTGAACAAAGCTACTAATGTCTTGCTTAGAAGACACACAGAAATGCCAGAATTGCTACAATTTTCTTCCAACAAGGATCACAAGTCTGGAGCCAGGTGCCTGGTTTGAATCCAAGTCATGCCAGTTACTATCTAGTGGGCTCTAGCAAATTGCTTTATTTTACAATGCCTCGGTTCCCTCATTTGTAAAATCAGGGTAATAATAATACCAATCTTTTGTCAAGGATCAAACAGGCTAATGTATATAAAACTCTGAGGACAGTGTCTGGCAAACACTGGCTAAGGGGGTTTAGATTTTGTTCCCTTTCAGCTTCTATTCCAGAACTCTCAGAGGATGATAGCATCTGTCTAGATTATGACTCGAGTCATTTTTCTGGAGCTTCTGTCATCCACAGATGCCTCCTTGGCCTAAATAATCTGGGAGTCTTCTTGATACTGTTCCTCTCCCTAATATTCCACTGGTTTTCAAGCAGGGATAATTTTTTCTTCCAGGGGACAATAGACAATATCTGCAGACAGTTTTAGTTGCCATAACTATGAGAGATAACACTGCTACCTTATGGGTACAGGCCATGGATGCTTCTAAAAACTCAGAACTACCCCTTACAACAAAGAATTATCCAGGCCAAAATGTTAATAGTGCCTTAATTGAAAAATTTTGGTCTCTCTCTCTCTCTCTCTCTCTCTCTCTATATATATATATATACATATATACATACATATATACATATACATACGTATATACACACACATATATATGTACATATATATGTATATATTCCAGAAAAGCTGCATAGACCCATGAACCAGATAAGTTTAATTCAATGATAATAGGATCATCTGCTATTTGCCATGTACTGTAATAATCTCCGGTGTTTGTGTGTCTCAAAAGCTTGATTTGTAATTGAAGTTTGCCAAGCACATGAATAACACTCCTTGAAAAACACTTAAGTGGAAACATTTAGTAAAATAAATACTTAAGAAAAAGTGTAGTTACATTGCTCTGTATGGCAAGGCAGCACTAGATTTCTGAAGCCCAGCAGACCCAAGTCTGCCAAATTCCATGGAGGAACACTTAGACAGTGGCTCACTGTAGTCAGTAGTTCTCACGAGCTGGGTTCCCCCAGGTCTGGGGAATTGACCATTGTCAGCACTGCCCTCCTTTGTTGCTGGTTGCTGTGTAATGTCATGTGACAGGGCTGCTAGTTAAGTCCAGTTACCATTCTGCTATCAATTATTATCCATACCTGTGACAGATAAAATGCTGAAAAGAATGTTAGCTGCTCAACATCTCTATTGCCTAAACATTTGTTATGGTGGAGGTTGCCTTCAGTGCAGTCTGCAGAATGAGGAGGAGGAGAGTGGGTGGTAGGAGGGAGGACTGTCAGGATGGGCTCCTATTAGGTAGACAAAATTCTAGAAAACAGGTAATGAGGCAGAATGGGAGTCCTGGGTAGGTGATATGAATGTGTTACTGTTATTTAAAAGATTAAGTAAAGACATAGTTATTTAAAAGATTAAGTAAAGATCAAGTTTTATTGCATTGGGATCAGAGAGGCTTGTTTGTAGTATTTTTACTTTATGGAACTCACTGATTTTGTGTGTGTGTGTGCCTGTGTGTGTGTGCGCGCGCGTGTCTGTGTGTGTGTGCGCGTGCGTGTGTGCGCGCATGCACCCTAGTACATGAACAACTTTTGAACATGTTGTATGTGCTTGAGAAAGATGCATATTCTCTGTCAGTGTGTTGCGTTCGATTTATAGCCGAAATATCTACCTTATTGTATTAGGCTGCTTCTGTTGCTTATAACTGAATACCTGACAGTAGGTAATTTATAAGGAATTAAAATTTATTTCTTACAGTTTGGGAGATAGGGAAGTCCATGGTCCAGGGCACATCTGTCGAGGGCCTTCTTCTACAGCAATGCAGGATATCAGGTGGTGAGAATGGGCTGAGCGAGAGTAAGTCAACCTCACTCACTCTCATTATAAAGCCATCAGAACCACACCCATTACTCCATGAGTGGCTCAATCCATTCCTGAGGGTACAGTCTCCACAATCTAATCACTTCCTAAAGGCCCCACCTTTCAATTGCCTCAATAGAATTTCCTACCCTCCTAACAATGTTACAATGGAGATTTGAGTTTCCAATACATGAACTACTGGGGGACACATTTAACCTATAGCACTTAACAGATTCTGTTATTTAAATCTTTTTTGTTCTTATTTTTTTCCCACTTGACCTGTCTCATATTGAGAGTCTTGGAATATAATATTTTTGTGCTTCTTTCTACTTCTCCTTCATCTTTTGTGGTTTCTGTGTTATTTATTGCCTATATATTTGTAGCTGTAATAGCTTTATGGTGGAATGTGTCTTTTAACATTACAAGGTGTCTTTTTTTCTCACTAAATACTTTTTATTTCAAATCTACTTCATCTGGCACAGGATTGCAACCCTTGCTTTCTTATAGTTTCCATTTGTCCGGTAAATCTTTGTCCATCCTTTTATATTTAGCCATTTGTAAATCACCACATTTAAAATGTGCCCAGGCAAAAGGGAAAGGCATGAGAATATTCAAGGAAGCTAGAAATAATGTGGCATTTTTTAGGTGACAGGTGTCTTTTTAGAGAGTAACTGGGAAGTGTTTTGAAAACCCTTCAGTACTGTGTTGAGAAGGAAAGTAAGGTGTAAGATTTGGGGAGTCATTGGTGGCAGCCAGGCAGATCTTTGCATCACAAAATCTGCCTTTTAGGAAAAAGTCTAATAATCTTCATATGGAATAAATGAGAAATAGGCTTTTAGAAAAATAAGGAATTGAGCCTCAGCTCCTTAAAATTTACTTCCTTATCTGAAGTTTACCAAATTCCAGTTTGCATGAAGGCCACATGAAGTGCCCTTTTCCATAGAGAATACTTATCAAATACTTCATTTGAGTGATTTCGCCATTCTGTCTTGGAGGCATCTTTGGATTCTTGTTGCAGTATGCCTTGTATTTTAGTTATTGGTAAATCTATCTTAGCTCACCTACTGAGGGGCTTATTTCTTTAATGTGAGTTATGGTTCTTGTCTATATTTGTAAGTTTTTTTGACTTCCCCTAATTTGTTGCATTAAAATAGAAGATATGCAGTAAAGGCAAGTTGAAAGAATGAAAGTTCAGGGGTGCATTTCTGAAATTAAATACAGTCAGTATGTTGTAATATAAATAACCTAGACTTATAGTTTCAAGTCAGACAGATATGGATAGACTCCTGACTTTAATATTTATTCATTAGCCCAAATTAGTCAAGTCAAATAAACTCCCTCAAAACTTTTGTGTAAAGTGGCAATGGAATAAATCTTAATGGGTTTTTGAGAAAATGCAATATACAGAGTCAATAGCAACATTCTCAGCTCTGACTCCTGGCAGACCATTGGTAAATAGTAATGCTTGAAAATTTTCTGCTGGGGAGACACATCCTCTCTTCCAGTTTAGAATGTAATTTCCAAGTATTTAAGATTCGTATAGCCTATAATTCTGAGGCAGATTTCTAGTTTTGGTCATGTGATTCCATGAACATGATTTCTGATAGATTATGATCCTAACAAAACAAAGTTAACCAACCTGGTTATCCAAAGACATACATCACTGTTTACACACCTGTTCAAGTGAATCAGTGGCAATTGTTCCATGGATCATGAATGAGTGCATTTTAACTGTCTTCTATTTTGTTCGCTCTAACTTAGATAAGCAAAACCCATACAGAAAGCACATGATGGAAAAATTCCAGCTCATATGGGAGAAGGAAACCTGTCTTCAAGTCCCTGAGGATTTCTACAGAGAAACCACTAAGAATGAGTATAAAGAACTGAAGGACGCATATACTGCTGAGGAGGCTAGACCTCTCACTGTGGTTTTGAAAGGTCCTGAAGGAATTGGAAAAACAACCCTTTTAAGAAAAGTGATGTTGGAATGGGCTGAGGGAAACTTCTGGAAGGACAGGTTCACCTTTGTTTTTTTCTTCAATGTCTATGAAATGAACTGCATTACAGAGACAAGCTTAGTGGAACTCATCTCCAGGGACTGGCATGAGTCTTCAGAGACAATTGAAGACATTTTTTCTCAGCCAGAGAGAATCCTGTTCATAATGGATGGCTTTGAGAAACTGAAATTTGACTTGAAACTTAATACTAATTTGTGCAATGACTGGAGACAGAGACAGCCAACACAAATCATTCTGAGCAGTTTGCTGCAGAAAAACTTGCTTCCAGAGTCTTCTCTACTTATTGCATTAGGAACGGTATCTATGCAAAAAAAAGATTTCTTGTTGCAGCATCCAAAATACATAACTGTCCTAGGATTCTCTGAACATGAAAGGAAGTTGTATTTCTCCCACTTCTTCTGTGAGAAAAATAATGCCTTGATAGCCTTCAGATTTATAAGTCATATTGGACCCTTGTTTACCTTGTGCCAGAATCCCCTTGTGTGTTGGTTGGTCTGTACTTGTATAAAATGGCAGCTAGAGAGGGGAGAAGACCTTGATATTGCCTACCACAGCACCACCTCTTTGTATTTATCCTTTTTAACAAGTGCATTCAAGACAGTAAGTGAGAATTGTCCACCTAAGCAGAAAAGAACCCGAATGAAAAGCCTGTGTGCCTTGGCCGCAGAGGGAATATGGACTCAGACATTTGTATTTTGCCATGAGGATCTTAGGAGGAATGAAGTAACTGAATCTGATGTCTTGATGTGGGTGCGCATAAGACTTCTTCAAAAGAGAGGTGACTGCTTTACCTTCCACCATGTGTATATTCAAGAGTTTTGTGCTGCTATGTTCTATTTGCTCAAACCACCCAAATACAACCCTAACCCAGCCATTGGAAGTGTAACCCAACTTGTAACAGCAAGTATGGTTCATGTTCAGACCCACTTGACCCAGACCGGGGTGTTCGTGTTTGGACTATCAAATGAAGAAACAATCAACATGCTGGAGAAATCCTTTGGTTTTTTGTTGTCAAAAGATATAAAAAAGGAAATAACCCAATGCCTTAAAAGTTTAAGTCACTGTGAATTCAATAAGAAAATGGTGAGTTTCCAGGAATTGTTTGGCAGTTTATTTGAAACCCAGGAAAAAGAATTTGTAACACAAGTGATGGATTTATTTGAAGAGATTTCCATTTATATTGGTGATATGGAAGAATTGGTAATATCTTCATTCTGCCTAAAGCATTGCCAAAATTTGAAGAAACTTCACCTGTGTTTAGACAATGTCTTTCGAGATCACTCTGAATCCAACTCACAGTGAGTCCATCTACTAATCCCATCCCCCCAACCCCCACATCCCGACAAACACGCTGTATTTGTAGTTTGCTCCAGTGGCCAATGGGTATTTTATAGATTCTTATATTTTGTGCTTAAAAGCATGGATGTGGTAGTCAGAAATGCTTCCTTTTGAGCCCTGGCACTGACATTTTCAAGCTCTGTGACCGTGAGCAGCAGCGTCTTGAAATTTATCCATCTGTATAAGAACAAAATTTTTATCTACTTCTTAGGGGCGACATGAGGTTGGCGCAGTTGGTTAGAGAGCAGCCTTGCAACACCAAAGCCAAGCAGTTTTTATTGTTGCCATCGCTGTGCTTTTTTTCCCTCTCCATGACACGTTTAGCATGTTCTGATGACTCCACTGGGAAGGGATTCCTGGAAGCTTGTGCCTGGTTTCCTCTCAGTTCTGCCTATGTGCCTTCTTCCTCTGCTTATTTTGCCTTCCATCTTTTCATCAGGTTCAGATTACCAGTTCATGCTTCAGCTCTCAAAATCATACCACCCTTCACAATAACCTTTTTGGATACAGTTTCCTGTTCATTGAGGTGTCACCAAGTAACCCATGTTCACATAAAAATCAATTCCTTTCGTGTAAAAGAAGAGGAAATGAAGGCAGAATAAGGTCGAATAGCTTGTTCAGGGTCTCATGGCTAATGAGCGGCTCGACTTGTAATTGATCCCAACTACTTTTGACTCAGGGTCCACTTACTTAACCATTATGCCATGTTGACTCGGTTTACCTGGCTTAACATTTTCCTGATAAGGCCTGGGTGTCCATCAGCTTTCAGGGACTTTGGGAATGGTGTTCTGCTTATTTTGAGAATGTCTTGAACTGAATTTAAATATTTTAGAGTCACAGTCTTTGTTCTCCCATAGTCACAATGTGAAGCTCATCTATTGGCAAGAACTGTGCTCAGTGTTCAGCACCAGCAAGAACTTCCAGATGTTAGATATGGAAAACTGTAGTCTCAATGATGCCTCCATGATGATTCTTTGCAGTGCACTGTCTCAGCCCACTTGTAAGCTCCAAAGATTCACGTAAGTGTTATATTGACTTGTTCTTCAGTAAATAGCAGATTTTTCTTCTCTCTATGTTAGATATGGAAAACTGTAGTCTCAATGATGCCTCCATGATGATTCTTTGCAGTGCACTGGCTCAGCCCACTTGTAAGCTCCAAAGATTCACGTAAGTGTTATATTGACTTGTTCTTCAGTAAATAGCAGATTTTTCTTCTCTCTATGTTTGTCTTTTTGGGGAATACCAATGCATAAATGCAGATCTGCAGTCCAATGTGTTAAGTATAGTGATACATAAAATAAAATGTAATTGGAGAACTGAAGAGGGAACTTTCCTGGTAGGAGATGACATTTTCTTGGATGTTGATGGGTCCAAGAATAGATGTTTCCCAAGTAAAGAAGGAGGAAGAATGCTGAGAACAGACGGGAAAATAGCCTTAAAATTGTAAAAGAGAATTATAATAAAAATAAGTATACAGAATAGGTAGCATTTATAAAACATTTAGCACAGAGCTAGTGTCTATACAGGCATTATTTCCCTCATTTTTTTAAATTCTCATAACAATATTATTATTTTCTTTATACAGATAATGTACCAGAAGCATAGGAAGGCACACAGTCATTCCCTGATAGTTTGATAACCTTGATTTGCCTGGGCCATGCAATTTTTTTTCACCTGCACTACCTTATCACTTTCTGGCCAGATCCAATTCTTTTCTCAGTTTGAAGGTCACTTCTTCATGGAAAGCACCTTATTTTGGCGGGGGAGGGGGGGTAATAGTTATCACATGTTTAATTATTGACCAATGTGTTTGTGCAGAAAAGAGTCAACATAGGAAACTTGAGACTGCTGTCCCTAGAAAGGGCTGCTTGGTAGGTTGGCTCTTGGCTGGTGTCTTGGAACTTGGATTTGGGAAGAATTTTCACCACATTGAGAGTGGTTCACTTTTTCTAAACTGTTCAAAGTGGTTTATGCTGGACACTTGGTTTTCTTTTGCAAGTTTGGAATTTTGGCACATGCTAGGCAAAGGGTGCCTATGTGATAAACCCCCCAGTAAAAATCCTGGACACTGACTCTCTAATGAGCTTCCCTGGTAGGCAACATTTCACATGTCACGACTCATTGGTGGAGGGATTTATCTGGTAACTCGACTGGAAGAGGACTCTTGGAGATTTGTGCCTGGTTTCCTCTAGATTTTTTTCTATATGTCTTTTCCCTTGACTGATTTTGTTTTTTATCCTTTCACTGTAAAAAACCACAGCCGTAGTATGACTATATGCAAAGTTTTGTAAGACTTCCCAGCAAGTCACCAAACCTAGAGGTGATCTTGGGGGATACAATGTTTCTCTGCTGACTAAACTGCCATAATGGAAGAAAATACACCTCTCCTGTTTACCCTCATACCCCCATCATCTAGCAAAATACAGAGTTCTATAAAGGCTCATTAAATATCTGTTGAATGAATGCATTCTGGAAATAATTTCTTCATTTCATATAATGAAACTGACTCAGAAATGAACTGCTAATGATGCCACAAAAGTGGCCTCCACTGAACTATTTTTCATTCTAGAAAATATGTTAAAGTAGGGGACTGGCTTGATTACAACGCATTTTCAATATATGAATTTAAGTGCAGGATGTGAGAGTTTGCTTATTTCTCTTTGAAAGTACCTAGCCATATGTCTTGAAATTGAGAAATGATTTTTCTTCTCTTTTCTGCATATGAGAAACACACAAAAAAACACAATTGTTGAGATGAATAAAGAACCAGAAGCCTGGGCTCATTTCTCCAACTTTAATTTCAATGCTTTTCTAAGTTCAGGGTTTAGGGTATGTTGGAGGCAAGAGTACTTTGAATATACTGATTCATGTGTGATACCTTAAATAAACCAAAGAATCAAGCTACTTCTCTCAATCACCACTGCCACAACTCTACCTCTAGAAACTCTCTTCACTCAGCTGGACTGGTTACAGCAGATCCTGTTTCTATTTGCTTTGTTACCTTTTTTTTTTTTTTTTTTTTTCTTTATAGTTAAGGGAAAACTTATACTTAAGGAAAAGGAGTTAACAAAGCAAATAGACAATAAATTGTGTTATAGTCAACTTTTCCATCTTAGTTTGTCTTCTTCCCACAAGGTCAATGATCCTTAATTGGTGATGATTCTTGATTCCATGTTTATCTTCATGATGATTTTCCCACCATATTGTCTGCTTACTCAATATTTACTGCCAGCCTGGGGTTGGAGTCCATTGCAGCTCCCTGGGTCATGAATCACAATGTTTTCAGTAATTTGGTAGCTTGGGGCCCCTTCCTACCCTTTTTGCCACCCTTATGTTTCATAGGTGTCTCCAGATATCAATAGGTTTCCATTTGGGGGTTGTTTTTTTGTTTGTTTTTTTTGTTTTTGTTTTTGTTTTTGTTTTTTTTTGGTGTGTGTGTGTGGTAGCACTTTTACCTGTTAGTTAGGTCAGCCTATCTTATCTTGACTATGATAACCCTCCTCTCACAAAACCCTCTACATCCCACCTTGCTGTCACCAGTTCCTAGCTCCCTCCATCTCTGCACAGGAAGCACTCCGGGAATCACTCATCCATTTAGGGCATCCCTCTGCCAGTAATTTATACAATTCTTCCAACCTGCCATTTTCCTCTTCAATACTTTTTTTCCTTTGTTTCTAGCCTGACCGTAATTTCCATTCTAGCTTGAATATGGCAGAATGTTTACTTTTTAAATTCTGTATTTCCAAAAGTTGATTAGGAGAGGAGAACCCAGGATGTACTTGATCTGCTATTATGATACCAGGAGTCATATATATATGATTAACAAACACATATATGATTAATAAATACACAAATATCTAATTACATATATATGTATTTATAAGCCAGATATATGTGTTTAGTAGTTTATAAATATAGTTGTCCTTTGGTATCTGTGGAAAATTGGTTCCTGGACCTACTGCAGATGCCCAAATCTGTAGATGCTCAAGTCCTTGATATAAAATAGCATAATATTTGCACATAATCTATGTACATCTTCCTGTATACTTTGAATCATATCTGGATTACTTATAATGCCTAGTACAATAAAAATGCTGTGTGAATCATTATTATACTGTATTGCTTAGGGAATAATGACAAGAAAAATAGTCTGTTCATGTTCAGTACAGATGCAATTAACTTTTAAAATATTTTAAATCTGTGATTGGTTGGATCCAGGGATGCAGAACCCACAGATATCGAGAGCGGACTGTGCATTTATGTCTAGTTTATAAATATATATGTGTGTTTATACAGACATATATATATATATAAATATTTTAATATATACATATGTATAAACACACATATGTATATATTAAAATCAAAACCAATATGAGTTGACCATGTTTCAGTCACTACAATAAATGCTTATTTATTAATTATCATGACAATATCTATTTGTTTCATGAAGAAACTAGACCCTAAAGAAGTTAGGTAATTTGCCCAACCTTGCAAAAGTAACAGGGAGAAAAGCAAAAATTTGAATCTAGTCTTTTAAAACTCTGGAGCCTGAGTCTTTAGACACTACATACATTATCTTCTTTAGGAAAAAAAAAACTCTTAGTTTTTAAACAGAAATGGGTCCTTTTCTTGAAACAGTCTTGCTTGGAGCATTAATTCAAATATGTGCATCTCTATTTTATGTGAAACAATGTGCTAAATCTAGGAACACTAAGAATTACAGACATAGTTTGTTCCTGTCTTCGTGGAACTTAAAGTTCAGTATGGAATAAGTCTGACTCATTTTTCTAATAATACGTATGGTGTCATGAAGAAGTGGAGATACTGTGAGGAAACAGGAGAGATCTAAGCAGCTTGAGCCTCTGTGTTCATCTGGTGTCTGAAGATCCCAGCGTGAAATAATCCGTGAGCAGGAGTAACCAGAATTCCAGAAACAGTGTTGTTATGCTAAGCATGGAAGGCAGGAAGAATCATAAGGGGTATCTTGTTTTGTGCTGAAATCTCATTGCATGACTATTACTATTTTCTTATATTTTGCAGGTTTAATTGTATGCCTAACTTTGGAAATTATTCAGACTTTTTTAAGGCAATTATTCATAACTCTCATCTGAAATACCTGAACCTGTATGCCACCAGCCTCTCCTACACTAATGTCAGGCACCTGTGTGAGATGCTGAAGGACTCAATGTGCAACCTAGAAGAGCTGATGTAAGTATCTGCGTTGCCTGTGCTGAATTTTCCCCCCCAGTGTGAACTTTGCAATTTGAATATGCCCATTTTCTTTACTGGCAGTCATTGCATCACCTTCATATTTTAGGGNTAGTCTTTTAAAACTCTGGAGCCTGAGTCTTTAGACACTACATACATTATCTTCTTTAGGAAAAAAAAAACTCTTAGTTTTTAAACAGAAATGGGTCCTTTTCTTGAAACAGTCTTGCTTGGAGCATTAATTCAAATATGTGCATCTCTATTTTATGTGAAACAATGTGCTAAATCTAGGAACACTAAGAATTACAGACATAGTTTGTTCCTGTCTTCGTGGAACTTAAAGTTCAGTATGGAATAAGTCTGACTCATTTTTCTAATAATACGTATGGTGTCATGAAGAAGTGGAGATACTGTGAGGAAACAGGAGAGATCTAAGCAGCTTGAGCCTCTGTGTTCATCTGGTGTCTGAAGATCCCAGCGTGAAATAATCCGTGAGCAGGAGTAACCAGAATTCCAGAAACAGTGTTGTTATGCTAAGCATGGAAGGCAGGAAGAATCATAAGGGGTATCTTGTTTTGTGCTGAAATCTCATTGCATGACTATTACTATTTTCTTATATTTTGCAGGTTTAATTGTATGCCTAACTTTGGAAATTATTCAGACTTTTTTAAGGCAATTATTCATAACTCTCATCTGAAATACCTGAACCTGTATGCCACCAGCCTCTCCTACACTAATGTCAGGCACCTGTGTGAGATGCTGAAGGACTCAATGTGCAACCTGGAAGAGCTGATGTAAGTATCTGCGTTGCCTGTGCTGAATTTTTCCCCCCAATGTGAACTTTGCAATTTGAATATGCCCATTTTCTTTACTGGCAGTCATTGCATCACCTTCATATTTTAGGGTTTTTTTTATCTTTTCGATCCCAGTCTCTCTAAACCTCCTGGTAAGGTAAGAATGGATTCTAAAGAACAGGGCTTCCTCTCAGAAGATTTGTCTCACCTTTCATATCACTTTAATTACTTCTCATGGACACCTTACTTGACACTTCTTGGTTCTGCCCTCAACCAACCATATGAAAATTAGAAGTCCATTTTTATTTTCTAAAGATATTCACAGAAACTTAAAGCTGAAAAGCACATTAATGATCACAAATGTGATCTTCTACTCTGGCAGATGACAACATTGAGCCAGAGGGAAAGTGACTTGCCCAAAATAATTTCTTTCCCTTAAAAACTATCTGTGATGCTCCACTTTAAATTGGTGATTTCCAGGCAGCAACAATCAACTTTTCAGCAGAAAGAAAAAAGGATGTCATTGATATAGCAATAAACAAAGCCATTTCATTTGTCCAATCAAAAGCATGTGCTCTTCTGTCTCGCATTCATTGTCCATTCTTTGCAGTAACCATCATAAACGTGATTGACAGATTCACATACACGAGGTTAATTTCATGCATCAGGACTCATCAGGAGAAAGAGGCAGATTACACATAAGAGCTGTTTGAGCATATAGAACTGCTATAGATCTTATTCATTATTCAAGCTGTTTCCATGGCACTTTCATGGCAAACTTTTTCTTCTATTCTCTCTCTACTCAGGAAAGTTACAAAAGCCTTAATATTTTGCCCTATTTCATAGTTATGCCATTTGCATAGGACTTTATGCATTATATATTAATGTAAGAACTGGGTAACAGATCTAAATAAAGCAGGAGTTGATTGTAGACATTTTGCAGCTGGAAATGTTGCCTTTTAGAGACAAACCAACTGTACCTTTAATGGACTTCAGTTTGGTATTTTAAGGGTGGGATGTCATCAAAATCACTTTCTCTGTTCTCATCAGGGGGCAATTTTGTCCCTTAGGAAATGTCAATGTCTGGACACATTTTGATTGTCACAATAGCAGGGGGAAGGGGCTACTGGCATCTAGAGAGTAGAGGCAAGGGATGCTGCAAAACGTTCTACAAAGCACAGGACAGCCCCGTACAACAAAGAATTACCTATCCCTGAACATCAATAGTGCTGAGATTGAGAAACGTGCTTAAGCCCAGGAAGGGCTGTAAGGTAAATTAGAATGATGCTTCTCTTCTTGTGGGTGTGAAGGGGTCAGCTCGGCTAAGACAGGGTGGGCTAGATATTTGCTTAAATCAACCCAGGGGACCTTATAGTAGGCAAAAACCATTCCGTAGTATGCAGTGGCCCTGGACAAACATTTCTATAGATACCACAGCCTTATTTCATGTGTGTCTTAATATCTTTATGACAAAAACCTGTTTTTCTATGTCAGCCATTCTACTTTGTTGTTCACTTTGTATTTTAAAATTATTAGACTCAAAAGAAGTTATAAAAAATAGTACAGATAAGTCTATGTACCAATTTCCCAGCTTCCACTAATGTCTTACATAACGATAGTACATTATTAAAACAAGAAAATTTTACTAATGTAATTCACAAAGCTATTTTTTTCCTATCTCTCTATATTAATGGTACATCAATCAAGGGCAGGATTCTTGGGTTCTGTTTTTTATTTGTTCTTCCTTTCATTAAACATTTCTTCAATGGCAAAGCTATTTTTAAAATATGCTTTTATAAAACTTCCATTGAAACTAGACTTAATCACTTTTTTAAAAACTTAGGAAAGTACAATTTAATATCAAATATTACATTTCCTTCTGCCTTCAAATTTGTTATATATAATGAAGTCCTCCTTTGCATTTTCTATATTCTGTACTTAATGTTTTTCATCAATATTCTTGTCTGTGTTATAATTTTAGGAGAAATCTAATTTTTCCAGCAAGTACTATTTTTCTTTAATTCAAAGACAAATGCAGTTGACAGCATATGGTAATTGTCCCATTTCACCTTATTTCTACCCCATTCTTCCTCATACCCTCAAAATAAGGTAACTTTCAGTATAACCCCTGATTCTTACCTAATAATATTTTTTAAACTAAACATTGGCTAATGGATTCAAAACAACTTTACTGGCATAGAAAATCCTATTTAAACTCTTTTAGCAATTAAATAAAATTGGAAGCAAAGTTGAAGACCTCTTGTTTAAAAAAAAATCTCATCTGGCTTAGAGTTTTCTTTATGCAGAACAAGAACATGGCGTGATTATAAAATAGGATTAAATGGGGTAAACAATAGAGGTCATAGCATCCTTAGTTCAGTTAGGTAAGTGGATACAAATAGGAAAATTTGAATGAATGTCTTGCCTCCCTCTTGTTTTAGTGGGTATTAGTAAATACTATACACTTAAAAAACATTTTAGGTAACTGAGGCAGGAAAACTTTCCTACTAAATTTTGTTTGCTATCACATAAGGATATTATAATTGATTTTTTAAATCAAATGTACTTTTAAATACAACACAACTAATGGCAGAAGACATAGAAGAGGGGTGGGCTCCTGAAGATGAGTCAAAATATCTTGAAGGAAGACCAGCTGGAGAAATACGGCAGTACCTTTTGGAAAGATAAAGTTTTGCCTTTCTGCTTATCATGCAAACTAGACAAAGGGGAATTCTGCCACCTTGCTTGTCCTCATGGGAGGTGCTGGGGCTAGTCTAGGTCACAATTTCTAAGTAGAAGCAGGTCAGTGTGTTAGATATTGATCAGGGGTCAAGTGTGGTGTGATTTCTGCACTCTCTTCTCTTGACTACTTCTCTGCAACTTAGCAAATTGATTCCCTGGGGGCCTAGCCATGTACCTGTCTCTGCTACTTGCTATTTCTTGAGTCTGCAGGCCAAAATCAATTTCACTTGAAGGATGAGAGAAAAGCCATGAAGGAGGGATTATACTGGCACGTTAAAGGGTGTTGGAAGGTTAGCAGTAAGTAGGCAGAAAGAGATCAGATGGGCAGGCAAGGCTGGGTTACACAGAGCCTCCTAGCCCTCTGTAAAGAAATCAAATAATCTGGGCTGGCCCAGTGGTGCACTGGAGAGTGCACTGCTTGGGAGTGTGGCGGCGCTCCCGCCGAGGGTTCGGATCCCATGTGGAGACCGGTTCCCGCTCACTGGCTGAGCATGGTGCGGGCACAACACCGAGGGTTGCGATCCCGTTACCGGTCAGTAAAAAAAGACAAAAAGGAAAAAAAAAAAAAGAAATCAAATAATCTCCCAAGAGAAATAGGAAGTTATTCATAAATTATAAACTGATGAGCAGCATATGGCCTCTTTTGGTTGTTCCTAAATTTTACAATCATGAAGAAGTTTTCTAATTTAAGATAATAAAAAGAATACATGAAGTGTACCATTGGGAAAAAATTCAAAATTAGCTATTTCTGTAAAATCTATCTGGACCATCATTTCAATCCACAATAGGCTTCTCCCAGATGTAACTGTTGCTTGAGTATGGGTTTCCTTGTAAGCCTTGTTTTGTAGGAGTTAGGTACTTATAGCCCATTTATTATTTCTACAAAGTGACTTAGCATTAATAAAAAAAAATTGTTTGGGCTAGGACAAATAATACCTGATAGTAGATACCATTTTCCCCCCACATTTACAATATCGATTCTGCTGGGCTTCATGCTACATTCTCCTTGGGGATGTTTCCAGAATGTGTATATCTAAAATCAAAATCTTACTATGTAACAAACAGAGCATAAATTTTACAAATATCCATTATTAAACATTTTTTCTATATCAGGCCAAAGAATTCAGCACCACCATTTTCGTAACAATGTACTTTACTAACCATGGATTACTAGCAGGTTTTCTGTTAATGGATTGCCTCTCATACAGTTGTAAATATAAAGTAAACCCAGAGTTTTTCTGAAAATAGGAACAAAACCAACCATAATTTCTCTTACCAAATAAGTATAAGTGGATTTAGCTCTTCATATCCACATGTTCCTCAATCAGATCCAACCAACTGTGGATAGAAAATATTCAGGAAGAAAAACAACAAAAATAACAATGAAACAGTAAAAAAATACAAATTAAAAATGATACAGTATAACAACTATTTACACAGCATTATT